CTACTGGGGAAAAACTAGGCTCTTCCGAATCTCTAGGTGGTAGGGATAGACAGTGCTTATCTTCCTACGGACTCGTGGAGCTCGCCACGAGGCGTGAGTATAAGCCAGGTTATTTAGTTGCGTTGGCTAAGATTAAATGCTTTGAATAGCCGTTGTCACTTTTGATTGACTCCGGGCGTCGGGAAACTATGTTCGGCGCCGATCCCTGTAGGGATGTCAGAGGTATGCTGAGGTGCTCAAAGCGCACGAGGGTGATGTTATCACTGTTCGCTTGGCGACAGGGACCCGTGTCACCGTATCTAAGTGCCATTGAACCTAGGCGTAAAGTTTGTAGACTTCGATAGTATCCAACGTTGTCTTGTCCTTGATTTGGACTCGAGAATGATCTCATTCTTGGGATGGCTTGGCTGGAACGCCATGAACCATAGATTGATGGGAGGTCAAAGACCTTGGCCGTAACGCGCAATGTTCCTATCGAAGCTTCGGAGAGTTATGATCCCACCTTTGCCAGGCAACAAAAGCGCTATTGGTGCGAGCCACTAAATGAGTCTGCTAGTGTGCTGGACTTCGGAGTGTCTGAGTTAATTAACTCTGATGTCATCAACAATAGTGAAACGGCACGTACTACGGTGAGTAACACTGGTAATATTGAATCACTGAAGGCTTTTAGCATGTACGGCCTAATGCCGTGTCATCCTGGGTGTGATCCCTGTGGTGCACGTGCAGTGGCACGTACTCCACAGAGTGATGTCGGCCGTGATGGCACCACACTGAATGTATTCAATGAAATTGTTGGCGATTTGCCAAGACATCAAGAGCCTGCTCATTTGATGCGAATATCGTGGAAAATAGTCCACAGAGTGGGGCCGGCCGCGATGGCACCACACTTAATGCTGGTGATGACATTGGCTCTCAGATAGAGCAAATTGAGGTGGGAGATGCCCTTCACCCCGTGGAACTGGATGTTCCTTACACGTTGAAGCTGTAAGCCTTTGTGCAGAGACGGCAGCGACGACAGGTGGCTGCTGCAAAACGAAAGGCATCTGCCATATCTCAAAAGGACAACAGTGTATAGATGTACACATTGGTCAATAGGGTGGAGGGCGATTTTGATGGAGAAGTTGGCCTCGAGGCCCTGCCATCGCTTAACAATCTGTTAGTTAGAGATAAAACATCTATTGAAGAATTTCATCAGGCCTTGAAACCCGGTGCTTTGTCTTATATGGTGGTCCTTAGACCTGACAAAGAGTTGAACTCGTCATACCTTTTGGATGAGACAGTTCTCGAGGACATTGAAGTTGCACTCATTGCTCGCAGTGGATCAGCTATCTTGAAGGATCCTTTGGATCCCTTCTATTCCCTGGTTAGGGAATTTTAGGATGTTGTGTTTAAAGACTCACCATCTACCCTACCTCCCGACAGAGGTGTGCGTCATGAGATTGACCTGGTCCCTAGGACCAAATATTGTGGTACAAGGAAATGGTCGTTGCCTAAGGAACAATGTGGAGTCATTGACGAGTTCTTTCGTGAAAAGCACACGGCAGGAATGGTACGGAAGATCAAATCCCTGCATTTGAAACCGACATTTTGTTTCAGAAAGCCAGTGGTAAGTGGCGTATTGTGCATGCTTACAATCAGCTAATTGCCTCAACTATCCCGGCACAGACACATATTCCTAAAAGGATGTTCTTCAGAATGCTATGGTAGATTGACATTGTACAGTTCACTCGACGTGGTCCATGAGTGTTACCAGCTGCTCATGCGAGCGAGTGATGTTCCGCCGATAGCGGTGAGTACTCTGAGCGGTATGCTCTGAAAGTGGCTTGTTATGCCCAATGGTCTATTTAATGCACCTGCAACGATCAATCGTCTTGTGACGCAGTTGTTCCAATTTCACTGAGGATGTGCACAAAGCTATTTTGACGCCCTTTTATGTTCATATCCGTGCGGAATCAGGAAGTTCAGATGTGAAATATCACATGGACCATTTGCGAGCAGTGCTCGGGTGCATGCGCACCAATAAGTTGTATGCAAATGCATAAAAATGCATCTTTGCTGCTGAAGAAATCCCCTTCCTAGGGTGCTTCATTAGGAAGCGCAGCTTGCGGGCGGATCCCGCTAAGGTAAAGTAAATTGTTGACTGGCCGATCCGTCAAACCAAAATGACTTGTGCAAATGGCTCGGTTTAGCCATTTACTTGCACAACTATAGTGTAAACTATGCTGACATGGCAAGGCCGTTAACTAACTTCCATAAAAAGGATGCGGTTTGGTGTTGGGACACATTCCAAGCTCAAAATTTTCAAGCTGTCAAGGAGAGTCTTCTTCATACCCCAATTTTACCATTGCCTGATCTGAAGCGACTTTTCAGTGTCATCTGTGACGCGTCCGATTTCTCCGTTGACAGTGCATAATTGCAGACAGATGTCGATGGACCTGAACGCGTCATCGCGTCAAATTCGCGCCAGCTGAAAGCTGCAGAAATGGATTATCCAGCTAATGATTGTGCGCTACTGGCAATGAAGTAGTATCTTGTAAATTTCAGAGTGCATCTGCTTGGCTCAAAGCCTTTGTGATCTATACCGATCATGCGTCGTTACGCACTGCGACACAGTCGCCTGACCTCTCACATCAAATAACTCATTGCATTTCATTCTTTGAAGAATATAATTATGAGGTGGAGTTCAAGCTAGGAAAGAAAAATGCTTTGGCTGATGCATTGTCATGCAGGACCGATTATGAGCTTGCTCATGTTACGACTCTGTTGTCATCAATCCATGATTAAATCCGTGCGGCTTATGCCGAGGATGAGCAGTGTATCGCGTTATTGTGTGCACTAGGCTGTGGTGAGTTCGAAGGCTCGGACATTAAGTTGTCGGCACGATTGCGTGCGGGGTAAATCGATTTTCTCTCGATAATGGCATACTGTGCTATAGCACGGATGCGAGGGATACTTCGCGCATTTGTGTTCCTTATAATACGGGACCGAAGTATCGGATCCTCTTTGAGGCGCATGATACAGCTTTGAGCGGTCATCTCGGTCGAGAAACGACATATGGCTCGGTTAGTTAGACGTATTGGTGGCCCAAGATGTACAAATGGGTGAGCACACGTGCGTATATGTGAAACGGGTCAACGCGTTAAACCTTTCGCTCATACGGCTGCGACTTTGGCGAATGTACCTGTTCCCACTGGGTGTTGGGAGTCCATGAGTGTGAACTTTGTGTTTGGTATACCGAAAGATTTGGATGGCAACACTGGTATTGTGGTCTTCGTTGACCGTTTGAGCAAGATGGCTCATTTAGCGGCTGCGCCGGACTCGATCGATGGTGAACGTACAGCACAGCTGTTTCTTGATCGGGTCTTTCGTCAACATGGTTTGGCCGTTTGCAAATGGTTCAGACTGTGATCCTAGTTTACTTGGAAATTTTGGAAGTCTAAATTCAAGGTGCTAGGCACCAGGTTAAACATGTCCACAGCTGATATCCACAGACCGATGGTCAAACCGAGCGTGTAAACCGCGTGATTGGTGATATTTTATGCAGCGTGTGCGCTAATACGCTTCGGCGTTGGAATTTTATGCTCCCAGTAATCGAATTTGCAATGAACAACTCGGTTCATGCCTCGACTGGTTGTACGCCGTTCTATGTAAACGATCTAACACCCCCCCCCCGCGTTCCGTTAACGCTACCATCCCGTGAGTCAGGGCTTGGTGGGGGAGGGATCGCCGATAGGCTTGCTGGTCTCAGCCGTGCCACTGCTCAGAAACAGGTTGGAGACTTCCTTGCAACAAGATTAAATGTCTTACTACATCTTCGGGACAAAATGGCTGAAAGCCAATACAAACAAAAGAGCAAGCAGATAGAAAAGGAAGAGGTTGTACTGAGAGCTATGAGATCGGTGACCAAGTTTTACTCAATGCTTAAAACCTACCTAGGAATGCACTATCTGCGGTTCTTAAGACGAAGTTGCGTCCGCGCTTCATCGGGTCCTTTACCGTCGTGGCTAAGAAGGGCCTTGCGTGCACACTCAGCTTACCGCGCATATTGCGTACTCACCCCGTCTTTACGTCGTAATGCTTTAGCCGTACCGGGACCCGTCCCTTGTTGACTCGAGAGCGCTGGCGCCGCGTACATTGGAGTTGCCACAGGATGTTGCATTCGGATCAAGAGATCAAGCTGTGCTTCAATACGAGTCAGACGTGTCTTCATTGTCTGAAGACGGGCGTGATCGCCTTCAAGCGTCGTCAGACGAGATTGCGCTTCGTTCAGAGCATGCTGGGATTGACCCAGTCTCACGGAGTCTATTCACACCTTTCGACAGATTCGAGTGGCTCTCAGCCTATACACCGATCGCCACCGGCGTTGCTTGATAGGCATGGGAACCTCCAGTTCCATGCAGAGAAGTTACTTCAACGACATCGTCTTCATAATCACTACTAGTACCTGGTGAAGTCGCGTGGGCATCCCGAGTCTGAGAACTCATGGGAGCATGAGATGCCCTTTCGGCAAGACTGCCCATATGTCGTGGACGTTTTTGAGCGCTACAATCAGGCCCGTATTGACGAGCACCACGCTTCTCAAAGTCAGAGTGGGAGTGGGCGTGTTTGTGTCAAAATGCTTACGTGACTTCGCGGCTGTAGAAGCAGCCGAAACATAGCGGGAATGAGATATTCCCTTCAGTCGGCCTTTGGTCTTTAAGTTCGCAATGTCGTGGCGAAGCTTTCTCTTCAGACGAACGTCTGTCACACTGGCACTTGCTCTCAGAGTAACCATACTACTGAAGCGTTGAACACCATGTACCCAGCATATGAACGCATTATCCTCTGAGACGTCGTCCTCACCCTCAGACATTGAGACGGGTATGCTCTTTATCGGTGGAACTGGTGTGCCTCTGCCCTGCTTTTGGAGTCTTTCTCGATACTCACTCAGGTTCATCACAGTCAGTAGGTTCCAGATACCTATCATGAAGAGTTTTTCGGCATTCGATTTCAGTGGGCGTTTATGCCTCGGGACCAGTGTCCCATCCTGCCAAAGTACGTCCAGCTGTTTGACGGATGCATTCTACCACGTCAGGCGGAGTGAATGTGTATTCACGGTTTCGCTGTAATGTGGTCAGAATTTCCAATTTGCGCCGCGCGCTTTCCACCTGATCGAGTATGCGTTGTTGCTCCTCGTCAAGTGGGTTACTGATGATGGATGGGTCCATGTTATGCATCTCACCAAGCGCTGTTGGCGCAGTCGCGGCACCACGTTTAGGGAACGAATTATTTGCCGGACGTGGGATACGTTCACGCACAGGTGCGTCGGGTTCGGATTGCTTATCCCCCTGGATGGCGTTACTACTAGCACTGCTATCGTCCACTTCCTCGATACCAAGGAATACAGATAGAGCCTCATCTTCAGTTAAATGTCCCGGTCGGTCCATGATGACAAGTTACAAAGTAACAACCTCAATGAGGAGACAAGTCGAGTGACGTTTTGTTAGCGTCAGTCTGGTGGGGAAAGTGTAACGAGGTCCACTAGCTATCGGCTAAATTGGTTGAAAACCTCCTATATGTGATATGGGAGATAAGTGTGGTCTTAAATTATACATTAATAGAGTACCGATTAGTCGGTATTCTCTGAGTTACGGTACTTACCGTGGAAGTACTTTGTACCGTCATCGTTTAATGACTGAGTGATGTGCCAACCATCCACTTAGTTCAAATACTATTAGTTGTATTAGTTCTAGTTTATTACAGTATAGGGTTTTTAAAGTAGGATTTTCCTTGATATAAAATCTAAATAAACTCAATTCTCATTTTGAGCAGAAGTCCGTAGACTTCCACCCTTTCGCACATTGCGCTTGACAGTTCCTTAGACCTGTCGTGGGTTTGTTAGTCCTTAGACTCTGGTATTCCCCTTTGTACGTTGTGCGTGTGGTCCTTGGAACTACAGTTGTCTGAGCTAACAGCTCATAGAGTTCGCACTAAGTTCCGTTGAACAAACCGACTCTTTACCTTGATATGCTAATTCCTTAGAACTAATTGGGTGTTAGCCGTAAGCCTCTGGCTTAACCCGTAACGTCTTCCTCTGACTTTAGACCTGTGATAGCTTCGCTAATATTCACCATTACTGTTTCCGCTCCCACTTGCCCTTGCAAAGCCCAAATTGTAGATGTCAGTATACTTCGCTGCCATAAATCTTCTACATTCCTTACCTCCTGGCCAAACTCCAACAGTATGAGCAACAACAACACAGGTGCGTTTTTAGCACGCGCAAAATAATCCATTCTGGGAAATTCGCACGTGTGGCCTTGTCGTCACCGCAGCCTTCTGCGATACGCTTGGACGTGCCGCATCCTCCTCGTCGTTTCTATATGACGATGGCACAAACACCTTCGTCTCGAGTAAAAAGGTGTTCCTCATGGACTGGGCCGTGACCTGTATGCTTGCGTTGCCGAGAAAAGACGCGCTGATTTATACTGGCAGAAGCGCATCTGTGCAATAACACGCAAGGTTGTGATTCCTTCAATACGGTAAAGATAACGCGGAGGTCATGAAGGCGAGCTTGATCTTCCACCGGATAAAATGCTGTTGAGATTTATTTAAACACTAAGGGCAATTGAGTTCATGACACCTGGACCAAAGAGTTCTTGATCAGCAATTACAGCTAAAGAGATGTAGTACTGGGTCAAGCCATGCGTAGCTGCTGTGGCGCTTACGACATCAAATGAACCGAATTGAAAACTGTTAAAGTGCTGAGTGCGATACCTGTTCATTCGCAGCGGACTGAGACGCACTACCCTCTTCCTACATACAGGGAAATTCGTAAAATGTGCGCGGATCTGATAAGTAGTTGGATTCGAAGGAGTGGTGATGTAACTTGTGTTGACAGAAAATGGCTGCTGGGTGAACAATTGGTGATAAAAGTCTCCGTCATTTACGACTGGTAATAATAAAAGCCGCTTACGTGACGCATCGTATATTATTGCACGTAGGTGACGGTGCCGTAGATGATTGTAAATTTGAGAGAGGATAGAAACGAATACTTTGGTGTCGCAAACAGCGGCAATCATCCCCTGATATTGCATTCTCATTGCGTGACACAATGTAGTCGATGTAAGCAGCGTTGGGCTAAGCCAGACTTCGGCGCTGCATCAATGCGTGTGCCTCATACTACCTTGCACGGGCAAGTGGGTGAGTAAATAGTAATGGTGAATCGAGTATTGGGATCTATTCCTGGCGAAATCGTGCGTATCTTCGAGCTGCTTCTGATAACGAATCAGAATGACTCAGCCGACTAAAAATGAACTCAGCCGTTTCGCAATTGCCTTTTTTTAGGTGAACACCGATGCTTTTTACCGTCCCCCATGTCATCTGGCATACCAAGACCCAGTGCAGCACTCGGTACATTTAACCTTCCTACGTAAACAGACGGGGTCGTGATAGATAGAGTGAACTTGCCGCTCCGACATCGATTTAACAGCAGCTTTTTGATACACTTGCTCTCAATTGTCCAAAGCCCAACGAACTCTACAGATATCAACACTTGAATGACACGCGAACGCGCATCCAGAATGCGATAGCTGACCGAAACCTTCGCGTAGCCAACAAATATCGCCGGTTTACCAGGATCTCCAATTTAGTTTCATACCTGAAGCGACAGTAATGTCGTTGTATCCCACCCAACCGTAACGGTGCGTCCACCATCATACTGAGCCACAAACAGTATAATCAGAGACACGACATTTTGAATCACGGCTACGACACCTTGCACTTTGTCACAGGTTGTCACCGTCACCTCCTTCACCGAGCTGCAATGCGCTGTAGCACTCGACTTACCCAAAGTTGTTTCTCCGTAAGGAACGGCTTCAAATTGCTGCGACTTACTGGTTTTAAGTCCTACCGTGGCACATCCTCTGCGCATTCTCTGGATTACAGTCAAAGGACATTTTATTCACTTTCAGAGCAGCCTGGACTTCCAATCCAGCTTCCTGTTGGCTTCATTTTCTAGCTGTTGAGTGCAAGTCGAACGCAATCACCAATACAAAATATCATTTGTATCCGGTGGAAAGTGTCAACATGATGCGCATCGCACCTATTTGCTCAGTCAGTTTGCGACTTGCAGCACTTCCGAGCTATAGACTCCGTTAACTCATTTAGCAAGTGCAAGATGCGAAAAAGTCAAGTGGGTCGCTAGATGACAAAAGGGACAACTTGATGGTGGTGATGCAGCTACTTATTGCGCTGGCGCTAGAATCGAAACGGTGCAGTAGGATGTTTGATGACCAAAAGGCTAGCACAACATTTGCTAGTGCCGAGTATTACATCACGACCATGCACTCTTAATCGACGAACTCAACTAGGCAGCTTAAACAGGTCGGGTGATCCAGCAACCTGTTATCTTGGTATTCTGCGGAAGAACGCTGTTCATACGCATGCAAAAACTTAGCTGGGTGACGTTCACTGCTTGCAGTGAGTCTCTGATCCGACAAACAATTGTGTCACGCGATAAAGCTAGCTGGCGTGCTGCAGGAATGCAGCACTGCTGTGTAACACTGGCACTCTGTTCTTTGACCATCAGCAACAATATGCCTGCATGTTTGCGCTTGCTGTACACATTTAGACGCGATGTCTTTTGTGGCACAATACAGCGATGGCGAACTGCTGGCTTCAGGAGATGCGTTTCCGAAAAATATCCAACAAACATAGGTTGGTGGAACCGTTTTTGCTATACCGGTGGAGCACTGCAATCCAAACTTCGATTCTGAACCTTGCACTACCTTCCGATAGCGGCTTAGTGACGTTCAGCAAGATCAAGTAACTTTGGCAGATTCACCGTTTTGTTACAATCGTACGTAACTAAAATTCCTCTTCTTCCCGGCTATCCTCACTGTTCCCATCGGCAGTATGCTTGTTATTCTGACTCGCTTTTGCCATTGCCTCAGCAGCACGTAGTTTGCGCTCGACATTAGCACGTCTCCTATCAGTCTTAGGAAGCAGCTTGCGCGAAGCCGTAAGATGTTTCACAGATTCGGTCCACGCTTCGTTTGGTGTAAGCACACTATCAGCATAGATTAAATGCGTCTCCCAATTTTTCGGCCGCAACTTGAAAGATCGCTGAAAGGCTGCAACTGCCTGCTGATAATCCTCCAAAGCTGCAAATATACGGCCGTATGTACACATCAAAATGCTCCAACTCGTTTTCTCGTACTCTGGAACCACCGACAAAGCATTTTCCACAATCGTCTTTGCACGTTCCGGGTCTACTGACAGTTCCAACAACGCGCGCAAATTCCACACAGATGCGTCCGACGGGTCGATCTTAAGTGCCTTCTCCAATGCCTCACGAGCTGCCGGAAAGCGGCGATTCCGCTGCTCAATCTTGGCCAACTCAATCAGCAAAGGTGCGTCGTTAGGTACATGCTGTGATGCCATGGTCAGCACTGAACGTGCTGCTTCATAATTCTTCAATCTGGCTTCGACACGTGCTAGCGCACGCCACGACTCAATGACCGTTGGCTGTACTTTTGTAGCCTCATCGTATAACTCTCGTGCATTGTTGAGCTCTCCGTGTTGCTCCTCGAAATCACCAAAAGCATGCAACACAGGACCGGTGTGCTGAAGCTTGACAAGTGCACTTTCAAACACTTTGCGTGCGTTGCGCATGCGCCCGCGACGTTTGTATAAAACTGCGAGCGACATGAGGCTGGGCACATGGTCAGGGTGCTGTTCCAAAGCTTCTATGTACAAGCCTACGGCTGCATCCTCATTACCCAGCTCCTCCTCCATTTTTGCATACGAGTTGTAGGCTGACGGTTCCACAAAGAGTCCACCGTCAATGAGTCGGCGATACGCACGCCGTGCCTCATACACGTCGCCAAGCTTGAAGTGGGCCATAGCACCCAGCAAGATAAGCCACTTGTGTGTTGGAAAGCGCCCAAACGCAGTAGATATCACGGCCAGCGCATTCTTGTACAGCCCAGCATCATACTCTGCTTTGGCCCATGCGTGCCAGACTTGGCCGGTAGCTCGCGGATGCGACACAGCGTTCTGGAAAATGCTTCGAGCCATCCCGACGTGTTGACATTTGGCTTCAAACACACCATAAGCTTGCATAATCAACACGTCCTTTGGATGTTCTTCCATGAGTTCCTGAAATCTCTCACGTGCTTCATCTGGATGTCCTGCCTGAACTTCCCAAAGAGCCATCCCTAGTCCCGCCATTGGGTTCTGCGGGTCAGTCGCCAAAATCACTTTATAAATGCGCTTGGCTTCCTGCAAATTCTTTGCTTCGAGCTCCATTGATCCCCACGATGTCCACAGCTCGACGTCAAATGAGATTCGTGACGCTTTCGAAAAGATCATCCTTGCCAGCCCGTAATTCCCTGCCTTCCACTCCTACACACTCAAAACGGCTCAATCAGTCACCGCCTACCGATTATGACTACGATACAAAAAAGCAATCAACCAGGTAAATTGAAGCGATGTCGAGCATCAACTTTGAGGTGTGTCTATTCTCTGTCGTACCATGACGCCCCACTTGTTCCACATGCCCATATCCTTTGGATACTGACGTTGCAAGACGTTCCGGAACAAAGTTCGAGCCGCCGGTACATCGTCGCGCACCAGTTCATTCAGCGTCGGCTCCCGGCCTTGCAAGCGGCTCTTGAAGCCTTTCAAGTACTTGATATCGGGCTCCCATGGGGTTTTCCCAGAGAGCTCACTAAATTTCTTCTCCACTTGACGAGCGTAATCTTGTCCCTCGTACAAAGCGTCCATAGGCCTGAAGACAGAGAACATGCGAAGCCTCTGCAGCTGCAAAAAGACTGCGCCTCCATGTCCCACCAGCGCTTCAGGACGTCGATGAACTGCCCGGTGCAAGTACCGCAAGCCCCTCATTTCGTGCTTCGACAGAAGAGTGACAAGGCAGTAAGTTCGTAAAGTGGTGTACTGGACCTTAGTATCGTGTGGAGTGATGGTGGATGGTACACTATTCAAGGCGACGCGTTTGGACCAGTCATAATGCCGTGCACGATCACGAGACACTGACGACCATTTAGGAAAAACTTCTGAGGACTCCACCGTTCACACGAATCATGTCGGCTGAGGAAGTTGTGGCTGAGGTCGAGGTCCCCAAGGAGCTCGGAGAGATGGACGCTCTCAAGGAAGTGCTCAAGAAAGCGCTTATCCACGACGGTCTCAAGCGTGGCCTGCACGAAGCTGCCAAGGCTCTGGACTCGCGTCGCGCGCGGTTGTGCTGCCTCTCGCAGGACTGCGACGAGCCAAGCTACAGCAAGTTGGTGCGTGCTTTGTGCGAGGAGCACGGCGTGAACCTCGTCCTGGTGCCTTCTGGCAAGCAGCTCGGTGAGTGGTGTGGACTGTGCAAGATCGACGCCTTGGGTGAGGCCAGAAAGATCGTGTCGACGTCGTGCGCCGTCATTACGGACTTTGGGGAGGAGACGCACGCGCTGAACGTGCTGCTGGACTACCTCAAACGCCAGGGTGAGAACTAGATGGGAAGAACTGTACAGTTGGGGTGGTGAACGATAGACCGAGCGCAGAGTTCACAGTAACTGAACGCGCCTGCGACTATAATACGAACTCCCGATGCTGTTTCTTGGGGACCGAAGCTTCACTCGGAAACTGTTTGTTCTGCTCTGTCTGCTGTCTCGAGGTGTGCGTAGTTACGTAGAGTCACGACAGGAACCATACGAACTCCTGCTCTACTTTAATTGATCGGCATTATTGCTACACGAGATTTCGGCCGCTTTTACAGATCTGCCCTGATCTCTAGCCAAGCCATTTGTCGGATAGCGTGACGCATCTTGCGTTCGTCTACTTCATCGTGGCGCCACAAGTCTATGCTGTGCGTACCAGCCTGCAAGATTGCCTTCATGACGGTCATGCGTCCACCCCGCAACGATGCACATGTATCTCTGTGTTGCTTCAGCACAGCAACCGGGTGCATTTCCTGCACCCTCCTTCTCAGGTTTGCTTGCCCTCTATCCTGACGGCGTGCAAGCCAGAGCTGCCAGTTTGACGGACGTGGTGCTATCATGGGCCCCGAAGTATCCAGTGTGCCTACCCACATACCCTTCTAAAGCCACACCCGGCTGGTGATCCGTCAGTCGCGTAACCGACCACTTTCTGGCCTGTAATCAGCCCTTTTACGTGCAGTGCAAGAACTAATCATGGCTCACGCGCCGACGTGCCAACAAAGCGACGCCTCTTCGCACGGTTTAGCGGCTCGGCGTTGCGACTATGAATGTCGTGCGTCGTTGATGCCCGCCTGAACTTGAAGTCAACTTGTGCTGCTGGCGACTCCATCGGTTCATCCACTTGCATCGAACGCATGCCCATCAGAAACGGGTGCTGCAATGCCTCGGTCGGGGAAATTCGTGTGTCGGGGCTGTATCATTGCAGCAAGACAAGAATTAGCTTCGTTGCGCGAGCTTTTCACTACTAACCTTGGAAACGTACTTAAAATCCAGCATGCGCATCACAAGGTCATGGAACGCTGGATACTGCTCCGGACCATGGTTAGGCGTCCCGTACTTGTCAGCACTCGCAAGAATCTCTGCTAAGGTCTTACATGTCTCAGGTATCTGGTTCGTTACAAAGTCGAGCGTCATAACTACAATATCGCCCAGGTGAAGTAATAGTTCCCACTTACCACATCAATACCCTTTGGCGGCACGACCTTGTGCACTCTCAGACGATAATCAACACACTTGATGTCGCCTTCGCAGATCACGATTTCATCAAAGTAGACGCTCCGGTACCGGGGGTTTGCCCGGTTCAACAGCTCACGCGGCGGCATGCCGAGCACGTTGATAATTCGATGTAGCTGGTCTGCCGAGTCGTAGCCGCAAAATAAGGGCTTGCCAGTGTGCATCTCAACCAAAATGCAGCCGAGGCTCCACATATCAATTGCAGCAGTGTATCGCATACCTAGCAGCACTTCAGGCGCGCGATAGAAACGACTTTGCGTATACCGGTGAATCTATACCAGCATCTCTTTATCAGCATCCAGTTGGCGTCATACATGACAATGCATTTACTAAACGCACCTGGTTCTGTGACAGACACGAACTACCAAAGTCAATGAGCTTCAAAGAGCTATGACCGTGCGAAACCAGCAAAATGTTCTCCGGCTTCAGGTCGCAATGGATCACGCTCACATTCGGGTGTCGCATGTACTCCAGCGCCTTCAAGATCTGCCGCGTAAACTTCCGTAACAGCTTGAGACTAACGCCGTTAAAGTTGGTACCACGCAGAACGTCAAAGAGATTCGGTCCCAGTCGCTCAAACACCAGACACTGATGCTCCTGGTGCATAAACGCGTCCACCAACCTCACTACAAACGCGGCACAACACAACACACATACACAAGCAGACAGTCAGACGTCGCTACCCGTACAGTTCAGTGTATATCTTCAGACGTGAGCACCACAGCCAGCACACAAATAACAAGACCGATTGCGAGCACAAGTCTCTAGAACGCACCAATGTGGTTGGTAGCATCCAGTTGTCGCGGACGGTGCAGCCGCTGCAGAATGTCAATCTCAATCTGCGCCTGGTCCGTGTACTGCTGTTTCTTCTGCACAATCTTGATAGCCACTGCTTCATTCGTCACGAGATCCTGCGCTTCCACAACTTGTCCGAAGGATCCCTACACTTGCATCGAGAGACACAGGAGCCACGCCATATTCAGACCCGTCCAGCCAACTCCAGCTTCCCTTCTTTGCAGCGAGCAGTCCGTACCGCGCCCAGTTTCCGCCCGCACACGAGGTAGCGGCCATTGTGGAACATCTCGTCGCCAGTGGTCGAGAAGACGTAGTTAGCAGGCGCTGGCGTCTGCATCTGCTGCTTCACCTTCGTCTTCTTCTTCTTACTGGAAGACCCATCGATGGGCTTGGGGTGGTGCTTGCGGTAGTAGTTCTATGACCAGCACGAATAAAAAGCACTTTTGTGAGAAAAAAGCTGAATGACACGAGCAGCGCGAGGGTGTTCGAGTCTGGCTGGTCCGCCCCGTCTTACACACCGCATTGATCGTGTTCAGCGTGCTCAGGAAGTGCATCGTAAACTGGTGGAGAGGCTTGTCCCGCGGCGGCCGTCGGGCCGCGCCAGCGTCGCCTGTGACCTCCATCATTTGGCTGCTTTAGTCTGCGCGGAAGCGGTTTGGCGCCCAGGACGAGAAACGGCGCGCTCTTGGGTTTCTCGCGAGGTTATTTCTTCGACCGCTGAGGTTTTTCAGCAGTCCATCTTCAGTTGGTAGTGCGTTTTGTTGCCTCATGGGAAATGCACTTTTTATAAACAGCGAGAACGACGGGTTGTTCCAGTGTGTTGTCAGTAGTACCAGCAGCTTCGACATCGTCCTGGAAGTGCCGAACGTCTGCGCAGCTTCAAGCATGGCGCGCATTCGGGTGAGCTGTTTTCGCGCCTTTTTCACGTTGATCGAGTGCTGTTCCGTGATTCGAGGGACCGAAAAACTCAGATCTTCGTCGCCAGGTCGCCTCTCTATTGCCAAAGATCGCGATGTAATGGCAAGTGAGTTAGCAGAGAAGGGGAGCAGGGCAGCCACTGTCCGTGACTGCCAAGCCTCTGTCCGTGACTGCCAAGCCTCAGACTAATAATGGGTTTGTACCGGTTGTTGATCCTCAACGTCTGCGGCGTTCGTTTCGCTTCACAAGACTGAAGTCATTAAATGCTACGTCATTGGAGGGTACATATCACACGAACTACTAGCAGCAGTCGTGACGTATTTACCTGTCATTCCTTGCCTGTACCGTCTGTGTCGCTGTTTCCTCACAGTTGAGTGTCGAGCCTGCTTGACCGACAAGAACTTTGCTGTGCGACCGTCGGGGCGATTGTCGATTCGACTCGCCTGTGCAAATATAGTACCGCAAGCCGGCCGTCATTTGACACCTTTCCCGTGACATTTCGAAAAAAGGCGCGTAATTGCATAAATGGGACGTGGTCAAACGAGCGATAATTCGAGACATGTGTCGAATATGCTGAACAAAGAGTTGAGGGGACGAGATGTGGCACAAAAAGCTCCTGGGAACTGCTCTTGGCTAGTCTAATTATACCGGTGATGCATCAAACAAACTCGCGGCTGCGATGACAGCACCTTGCCGTTCGGCTAAGCGAGATCAGCCGTGATGAAAAGTCAGGTGTATTTTGTGACACAATATCGTTTTGGCGTACGTCATCTCTGGGTCATTATTTGTAAATGCCAACTGCAACTGTGGCTGAATCTCATTTTGTTTCTTTGACGAATGTCACAGCACGTCTATGCTAACGACGGTAAAAAGGAGACGGCGCTTCAAGCAGCAGCACCTCGCACCATGCAGGGATACACGCAGGCGCTAGCAACTACCAAATGCCTGAAAATCTGAAGGCAGTAAGGCCGTTTTAGTGACGATTGTACTTTGATCCCAAGAAAACCTGCAACTTACTACAATGTGTTTTGGAATCAGCACGTACGAAGTGATTTGCTATCTGGACGTATGGAGATGCACAAACCACAGAATGTTCACCACAAAGGGAGGGGGTCGTTGTGGAATGTCCATCAGCAACTGCAACTATAAGTGAGTCAGTCATGCCATCATGGGCTACGTGCCAAAGTAGAAGCTGACCCTGTCAAATCCTTTGAGCAACTACAATGAACTTGTAGTGCCGGCACAGTCAGTCACCAAAGCACTTTCAGCCACATCCCCTCAACACCGCGACAGATCGGTCCTCATTTTGCCCATCCTAGTGAACCTGGCATACATAATCCAGTACAATTCTCCGTGAACCGGATGCCGTCACCCCCTCTGCCATGTATTCGAACGGTTCCATCCATCACGTATTCCACCTCCAAACTTCATTCCTAATTCTCTTCCCAGACGCCCATGCCGTCCCACGCAGCTGACGAAGTCGAGACAATGACCGATTTGGCAAGTGCCGCTTACGGTGCGCGCGTGCTTTTCGCCACGGACGAGTGGTTCGCGCCTGCGAGTCGCTTGCTGCTGGCTGAGCCTCCAGTTTTCATCCCCGACAAGTTTACGAGTTTCGGGAAGTGGATGGACGGATGGGAGTCACGGCGCAAGCGAACGCCTGGCCACGACTGGTGTGTGTTGGCGCTAGGGATGCGCGGCGCAGTGGACGTGGTGGACGTGGACACTGCGTTCTTCACGGGTAACTACGCACCACGCGTGTCTGTTCAAGCTGCCGACTTTGCCCAGAGCTCTGATGTCCAGGCCGATAGAGCGTTGCGAGTCCTTACGGCTAACGCTATGGAAGACCGTGCGATGGGTGTGTGTGCCACGCCTGAGGAGATCGAGCGGGTGGAGCAGTTAAAGTCGTTCAAATGGACAGAGATCGTGCCATTGACAAAGCTCAGACCCGGGTATCCAGAAACCCGCCACAATCTGCTGAGAGTACCGCCGGCTAAGAGAGGTCCATGGACGCACTTGCGACTCAATATGTTTCCCGATGGAGGGATTGCACGTCTGCGTGTGTTTGGAGAAGTAGTAAAAAACTGGCAGCTGGTCCCGCACTTTGAAAAGCTAGATTTGGTGAGTATTGCAAACGGGGGACAGGTGATCGGTTACAACGATGCACATTATGGTCATCCGCGCAATTTGATTGCACCAGGCCGAAGCAAGACGATGGCAGGAGGATGGGAAACCGCCCGTAAGGTGACACGACCTGCAATTCTGAAGGCAGATTTGACCACTGGGATGTTGGAAGTGCCTGGTAAAGATTGGGTCGTGCTCAAATTGGGGCATTTGGGCATAATTCAACAGGTTGAGGTGGACACGAACCATTTCAAGGGTAACTTCCCTGAGAGCTGCATGGTGTATGGGACTCGATACTATGGTGACAATGCTGCGAATGAGTTACTGATGAATGACGGAGCTGTCAAGTGGGAAGTGGTGCTTCCTCGCGTAAAACTCGAAGCGCACAAGCAACAATACTTCTCCGTCGTAGAAGGAGATGTAAACGTAATCTCGGCTGGAGTCAATTACGTTAAGCTCGAGATGTTCCCTGATGGCGGTATCAGTCGTCTTCGCTTGATTGGGTGTAAGAAGGACGCTGATGCTCGCCTGTAAAGCGCAGTTTGATGAGATGGATCGGGCAGGATGTACGAAAGGACGATCTTCGTATCCGGACGAAGGTCTGTTCGATTACACGCTGTGATTGTCGGTCGCAGTATCAGAAAGGAAGATAACCTCGAAGCAGAACGCGCGACGTAACTAATTTCATCTTTCACCAGGTCGCGCTTTGCACTAAGTATCGGGTAGAAGTACCCACGTGGCCTAAATGTAACAAGTACTGCAACAAGAACGCTACTTCCCGCCATGCAAGTGGGTAGTCTTTATCTTTGGAAGCTTTGTTGTCGACGCCTTGCATGAGACAGCGGCAATGACCGATTCGCTATCTGACTTGATGGCAGATTGTAAGCTACATGCGACTATACGAGAGCTGTTTGAAATTGACAAGGACCGACGTTACAATTACAGCTGCAACAGATGTCATGTCCTCATGCAAAGCGCAGCTGGTACGTGGTGATTGATACTACGAAACGTCGACTGTGCGAGTACGTTCGATCTAACAGCATAAGCTTTGCAGGCATTCATTAGCTCATATCCAGACACGTCTACGTGACGTTTTGAGAAATGTTGCTGTCACCGCGTGTCCGTGCGGATGTCGTATTGGCGATTGACTTTGAGCGAGTACGTCAAAATTGAGCTGCAGCCTAGAATTGCGCAATGATCCTTGCTTACCTCCCTTCAGAAGAAGCCGCATGAACTCTTCAAGACGCGGTAATCTTCTACTCAGAGCTTTGTCTTTTGCGCAAACCTCACCAAGTGTTGCAGTGGACGTCCACAAGCAGTTTTACGCAATCGAAAGTATCGGACCCATATCCGGCTTTTCATTTCCTGTTCATACGCTGCCAAAACTGCTTATCATGCTTGTACCGGATTGGCGCGGCTGGTCTCACGCTGTAAGTACGTTTTTGTCCAACATTTATAGCTTTTCTCCTGCAAGATGTCACTTTTGTAGTTCGGGGCCTACTTTGATCGAAAAGAGTCGAGACTTTAGACCAGACGGTTCTTGACTACAATTGTCCCGTCAAACCTGTCCGGCAACATATATATGAGATACCATAGGCTCACACGGATCTTCCTTGATCCTACTATTGGTAGGACTGTACCATGTCGGGCGTCGATTCTCTAAGTGATGGCGATGTGCACGAGCGTCTGCTGCCGGCTGGGCCGTACCAGACCTCACCCGACGAAAGCGATCAGCTAGACGTGTTCACGCATGAGAAACTGATGCATTCCATTGGCTCGTTCTCTGCCGTCGTTTGGCCTGTGGCCGCCACCATGTTGTTTGCAAGGTGCGTCTTTAACCCTCGCAAAATTCAAGTACTTAGCATCGTACTTAACCGGATACTTGCTTGATTATAGTTTTGTGTCAATTCATGTAGCGGATCCTGCACTGGCTGAAGCTCTCGCAGAGTACGTTGCAGACGTCAAGAGAACGAATAGCGGATGCGGAATTTATATTTATGTATTGATAACTTGCACTCGTAGCTTACCCTATATTGCTGTATTGCTGCAGCGCTTATTTAGTCTATGGACCGGACAAAGACAAGGGTGCATCCGCAGGCACAAAAGCAGCTGATGCACTGGTCAACGCTCTCGTGATTGTGTCATTTTTCCTCGTTGCAACGCTCGTTATTGTCGGATGCTACAAGCTGAACTTCAACAAGGTGAAATTGATGACCATATGCTTTTCAGTATGAGGATACGATGACTGTGACGAACCTTTGTTAATATCTCGCGGTGTCTTATGCATGGCAGATGCTGATCGGGTACATGATGTTCTCGTCGGCAATGCTGCTAGGCATGCTGGGAGGCAACATGATGGTCATCGTCGTTGCCAAGTTGGAGATTATAGTGGACGTATGCACGTTGTTGTTTGTCATGTACAATTTCTCCGTGGTGGGTGTGTTGACCATCTTCTACCAGAAAGGCACGCCTTTGTGGCTCACACAGATGTACCTGATTGCAACGTCAGTCATCATGGCTTGGCAGCTGGGTCAATTTCCCGAATGGAGCACCTGGGCGTTGGTGATCGTGCTTGCATTTTATGACTTGTGTGCGGTGTTGACACCATGTGGACCGCTAAAGTGGCTTGTCCATCTTGTGCAACAGGAAGGGCGACCATTACCTGGTACGTCTGAAATTTGGTAGACAACGTTGCTGTCTGTGACTTTTTACTGAGTGTCTATATTTGACGGTGCTGTAGGTCTTCTGTACGAAGCAGAGATCCGCCGTGATCACTCGAGCAACACAGCTTCACAAGCGCATGAAAATTTGTACTACCAGTGCGAGTCAGAAATTCCTCTTCGTCGCGGGTCACCGCGGGATATGCCAATAGACCCCTCCTCTTCGCCTCAAATCTCCATGCCGCATCGTCAAGCTCCATTGCGCGCTCGTTTGATCGATTTCTACACAAAACACAACCCGGCAGCAATCTCCCGCGTGGACAAGATCTTGGAACGGTATCATGGGCGAGAAGCCGATATGTGGCATGATCTATGCCAGAAGTATATTATCGACGAAGGGGGTACGTTTGAGATCACCGCAACTAGTCGTCATGTCGAATTGCTCGACTAACCTGCATCGTTGATGGGCATGTAAAAGCAGATGAGACAATCAAGCTTGGTCTAGGAGACTTTGTCTTTTACAGCGTGCTAGTATCTCGAGCCGCCAAGTACGATTTTTCGGCAATGATCGGGTGTTTGGTGTCCGTCCTCATGGTACGTAGACAGAATATGTTTCGTTTAGTGAGGTCACTAACTATTCTCGTACCTGCTTTGTTGTGCAGGGTCTGGGAGGAACATTGTTTCTGCTCGGTTTATACCAGAAGGCACTTCCAGCCCTGCCAATCTCCATTCTGCTGTCTGTCATGGTGTACTTTTGGCTTCGCATGGTGTTTGTGGACTTCGTGAGCAGCGCCCTGATTATCGGTGTACTGTTATAACAAACGAGATAGATGCAAGCTGACGAACGCCCATTATTACCCCCGCGAAAAGCTCATAGATAATTGCTGTTCTGGATGCAGTCTCGAAGGAAGGAAGTCAGATACGTAAAACCGAAAATGTAAAGAGCTTCGAGCTCGATTTTCCATGGCAGGGTATCCCCAAGCCACATTTGGACTTCTTCCTTGTAAGCTTCAGTAGCCTGTGTAGGCGGTAAGACGCGTCAACTCAGTCTACGTGATCGTCCTAAGGTGCGTTCAATAGCTTTACCTGAACAAAGCTTGCACGCAGTAAGGATTCCGCTACAGCTGTATCCTTACGTGTCAGCGCTTTCAGGGACGACAACGGCAAGCCCAAGCTCGTAGCTTGTGACGGACGGAGACCGACCCACTTAACATCTACAGCTGTAAAACACGGATGCCCGAATGACTCAGTTCACACATTAGATTGAGAACGTGGTCGCAAACTTACCGTATTGCAGTGATTCTAAGGGCATCCGAGCAGACCCTAGCTTGTATGTTAGCTACAACAGCACCTTGTTAGATCGACGACTGTACTCGCTCTCTCGTGTTCTCGTACCATGATTGAGAGGCCAAACGGATTGCAGTCGCAAAGACCGAGAACCGGGATGTCGAAAGTCTTGCTCAATTGACTCACGAACATTCTGCGCACAAGAGTATCGACTGAGCATTTCACACCAAAACGGCACCAGGTAGAGGTAAAGCAAGACCTTGTAGCTAGATCTGGAAATCCACGGCCAGTGATCAAGATGCTAGGGACCGCCACAAAAAACTTGTCCTCCCTGGCGTTGAGACAAGCGCACTCGATGAATAAAACAGCAGCGACATTCCCAGTGAATACGTAGTGTACCTTAATCGATTGAAGATCCCTTCAGTACCTCGCAAGCGTATCGATCAGAAACACAATCTTCGCGCAATAATAAAAAGCACCTACCATCTTTCTCGATAACAATAATGCACTTTGCGTTACTGTGCCTGCAAATTACGTCAAGACAACGTGAGCGCTTCGTCCTAGAATCAAGTGATCATACGCGTTGCGTACATCTCGCTAGGCTTGAGCTGCAACAGCTCTTGAGTAATGGAAACCTCTTCTCCACTGCCAAAGTACCTCCATTGATTATCTCTCTACGCAAAAAGGAGTTACAAGCCAATCTCTCCCAACAATTCGACAAAGATACTACAACGTACGATAAGGCTAATGTCACCAGTGAAGCACCCTTTAGATGCACCGACAATATTCATGCATCCTCGTGGCACGCCCAAAATGCTGCCGGCATCTGCAACCAAAGACGCACACGATGCTCAGAGAAAAAGCAAAGCATTGGTGCGAATAGTCTCACGCAGCAGTGACCTAGAATGGCTTCGTCAGCTTCACTCTGGCCTCTAAAGAACGGGTGCAAATAGTAAACATCTCGCTACGATACAATCCACTCCAACGGCATCAGAAGTCGCTCTCCACCAATGAGACAGCAACCTATAATAATCAGTCCTCATCTACCTGGGTTGCTGTCTTGTGCTCGGTCAGCAGCGCATGCACCGTCTGCAAGATCAGCCAGATCCCCGTGTATCGCCTGCCGCCTTGTCGGTTCTACACACATCACAACATCCCTAGGTGACTGCGAGCCATAGGAGGGTAGACACACCATAACTACACTCGACTGTACCAGCTTGATCAGACGCGTCTCATTGCCGTGAAACTGCTGCTTTGTCTCGTGGTCGTACTTCATCGCAGACGAGTTCCGCTTCAACTAAACAGACATACAAGTATACATACATCCACACATACATGCATGCATGCACACACACAGTAGGACAGACAGACAAATGATCAGCTGAAGTAGTAGACTTTTGACAAGCACAATGTATCGAAATGATCGCGTACAGCCTCAAGATCGAGCACCTTGCCGTCCTACACGATACAACTGGTCAGGCAGTCGACCTGCTAAGATTCAAAAGTGTAGGAACAGCTGCTGAGCGTACCGACAAGCAGTCCAAGAACTCGGCGGCCAAGTCGGCGATGCGCTGCAAGACCTGTCGAAAGCAGGACGAGTGCTGGCGTCAGCGAACGTACTACGGAGCAGCATACGCAAGTGTCGCCCGCCCCCTCTATCTCTCTCTATATATCGCTCGCGTTACCTCTTCTCGAGACCATCCAGTGGCTGTTGCCTCAATCTGCCCGTGAGTTGTTGCCATGGCGGTAAAATGGTGACTGACAATCATTCCGAAAAACTTCAACTTCAACCTCTATATAAGAATTCCACCTTGTCATATTTATATTCCATTTTGCAGGCAATGGGGACTAATGAAAGGTCAGATGCAGCGAATTATCATTAATTTTACTGGTCGTGTTTGTTCTGCTGTAGAAGTGGGTGACTACCACAACCCCGATAAATTAAATCATAAATAGTGATTAGAGGAGCACCCCCATAAACCACATTGACAAACGAATGCGAGCAAATATCTATGCGATGTCGTGCCACCATAACGATTCGAAAAACCATTTAAGTAAAAAGAGAGAAAGATTCATGACTGTCTGCTGCCCAATACGATTATATGCTAAAAGCCTAAAATTGTCGAAGCCAGGCGCGGCGGTAATATATGGCACCGTGCTAGAGGAAGTGGTTCGACACTCCACTCAAGGGTAAAAAGTTCAAGACAGGCATGTGACTGAGCCCCTTGAACTACTGTTTCTGCGCCTCTTTGTTCTCGCATGTCCAAGGCGATTAACGACGTACACCTGTAGTCCACAAGCTAATCCACACTGGAAGATGTCGTGGACTGCGCGCCACAAAAACGGTATCGCTTCGCACACACTATAAGTGCGTGATGCAAATAAAGCACATGAGGAACCATATCCGTCGCAACACCTGTTCGCCCGCCGCGACATCGTCTGGAAATTTGTAACAGGGTACGCCAGTTACACGTAATTAACCTCGATAATTGTTTATTAGAATATTATCATAAAGGTTGATAATGTTCACGAGTATTATCATAAGGGGTAATACTCACAAATTCTCACCGATTGGCTGATATGGGTCATCATATCAGTCAGCCCTAGCGGTCCAACGATGGATGCGCGCATTGAGTGGTGAGCAAGAGTTTAGCATGCACTTTTGTAGTTAAGTAGGAATAAGTTGAAACTAAAGCATAGGTGTATATACTTATGACTTAATTACACTTTATGCAGATTTACTATCGACTCCTATTGAACGCGTCGTTCACTAGCTAGCCTTCCTCTGCACGTTCGGTGTACGTGACGCGACGCGAGGCCCTACCTACGCTGTTGTCAGTTTAGGTGTACAAGTACTTAAGTAGTACAAGTGGCCAGTGCCCCAGTACAGAAATCTCCCCAATAGTCTAGACCGCTGGAGCACAGAAATTTCCGGTGCCACAAGTTTGGCACAGTTGCCAAGCATCTAGAACATACACGGGAAGTTGCGATGGCGCCGGTCCAATCAGTGAGTGATTTATACTAGCACGTACGCGCCTTCGACACTCCCAAAACAAGTGTAGTGAAGTCTTAAGCACTCCTTGACACTCCTGCAATGCATTACAACTATTGACCGTGGGAAGTCTTGCGTGATAGATCTTAAGTTGATTGGTAGCGATGCGATACGCCGTTCAAACTACATAATCGAAGAGTTCAATACCATGCTTCCATACCTGGAAATAGAGCTGACGGGCCTCCGTCTGTAGTCACGTATCCGTGCCGATAATATAAACCAATCTCTCCAGAAAGAGTTGGCGTGTCCTTCTCGGTAGCTCCGTCTCAGGTACCAATGCAGTCCATCATCGGCCTGCTTCGAGCAAACCAGACCAATATCTGACAGCGAACGACCTCTGCGAGTACATACCATGCAGCCTTGGCGCTCAGTTACCCCTTTGAAGTCACGACGAAGCGAAAGGATAAGGTCGAATCGACAAACAGGCTCCAGACCTGAATCCGATTAAATTGGAATCTAAGTGACGCCATTAAAACAGAAGTCGCTCATCGCCATAATTTGGGCTGGGAATGCGTAATACCGTCCATCCGCGACGGCGCGTAAACGGCGGTAAGTGTGCGCGTTTGTGAGTGATTTGCTTTATGTGGCAATCATTAGATAAAAAACAAATTTGTCGAGACGAGTCTTCGGTCTCAACAAAATTTTGGTGCTGTTAAACATATTTATAAATGTGGACACTGGTGTTGATTTAAACACTATTTATAAACTTAGCTTATTAGGGTTTTATCGGTCATCCAGTGTGTGCAGTAATTAATTGGCACTGGGGATGCTTGCAAGAGTAACTTGCATTTACTTGTTGGTACTGTAACTGGGCACACCTTATTCAGTTAACTCAATAATCCTTGCATTGCTGCAGTGCAAGGGTGTGTGCGTCCAACTACCTCACGTACACGTACGTGCAGAGGAAGATTGCTATACGGACTAAGAGTACTCAGGAAAGATGAAAAGTAAAACTGTATTCAGTACAGTTAATCAATCTTATAAATTCCTAGTCGACTTCATTTTACTGTGTCGAAATACAAACATATACCACAAATATCTGCGCAACACTCATCGCGTACTTCTGACGTGGCTAGACTTTATTGGTGGACAGCTCGATCATCTATCAACAATGAGCAGCGTGTTACATCTGTAAAGCAATATTATTCATCAGGACAATATTGTGAGAATATCGTGCTTGTCAAAACAAAATATTCCTACTTGATAATTACCCTAGTAAATTATCATGTAAAGAAGGCACCCCGTTACAGGTACATTGTTATTCAGGAGCTTCTTCGAACCTTCACCAGTGTTCGTAAGTGATCGAGTAGAAATTGAAACACCCCCGCCACCCCCGGTACTGTGCTAAGATACGTTGTTGTAAGTGAAGACTTGGATCGGCATCAGATGATTCACAGAGATCATTGTCGGCCTTGCAAACGGCCGATGTGCGATAGTCAGCGGCGACAGGATGACAACAAAATCTGTTTCTTCGTCTACTTGCCGTTACAAAGCGGCGACACGCTTATTTGTCCAAGTTTTAAGCTCTTTCTTACAACATGTGAGATCTATAGATGGACCACTGCATCGTCATTACCTGGCCTTACGTGATGACTTGAATCTGTGCTGGAGCGTACACATCAATCGAAAAAGACAAAGTGTGTACAGGACAATGGCGTCACTTATGTGTGCACATTGGAGACACGTTGGCGCGAACGTGATGTTCGTGACACTAGCCAAATTGCTGACAACACGGTTGGCCAAGAACAACTGGCGGGCACCATGATGCCCAGGGCGGGCGTGTTTGTGAAGTGACTGAACATAGCAAGCTGTAAATGTCCACGTCGCATGTTCAGCGGTTGTGGAGTAGATCACATTATTTGCAATCGACAGCAGTAGTCAGGAGCAGCCATTTGTGCGTTATGGCGATGGATACGGAGCTGCACACCTAATTTGACTGCTATTGCTGCTGGTGCCCACTAGAATGCGCCAAGGCGATCAAGCTGTAGGTACAAACAAACTTTGCGTTTTACCAAGTGCTCGGAAGGAGATTAGGCGTTCGGTACCTTGACCAGGTGCGAAGTCTTAAGCTCTTACTCGAGCACTTGGTAAGCTCAAGACTTTGCAAAGGGGAAAGATACCAAATGCTTGATCTACTTCCCACTGGTTGTCTGCGAGTTGGTGCCCATCAGTGTGCTCACAATTTGCGTTGTCAGTCTATTCAAGTGCAGCCAAAAATAGCAAGCCTTACAGGCAGAGTGGTTTCTCATCGGTTCTGTTTGCAAATTTAACCGTCTCATTCTTTCGAAGTGGTTAGGCTAGGATCTGCCAGATACCGAAACTTCTCGGCAGCACATATCGCTAACCATGGGTAAATGTCGATCGACACGCACGCTTACATGTCACCCGAAGCCGCTGTGTCTGCAGCCGCCTTCTGCAACAAAGCTTCCGTCTCCTTTTCCGTTAGTTGGCGGTGGACGATTTTGCCATCCGCGTTTCGCGTGACCGTCGTGAACTCCACCTTTTCTGCCGTGGGAGTCGTCGAGTCCATGGTCTTGTTCATGACCTTGACCGAGAAGACCAGTGCCTCTTCCACTGTCATGTCTTTCTCGTAGTCGCTCTTCAGCATGCTCTTAGCAGCGCGGTTATTAGCGCCAATGGCTGTGGCCTTCCAGCCGCCATAGTTTCCACTCGGATCGCTGTGGTACAACTGGAAGCCGTGGTGGCGGTCCCAGCCAGCATAGAGGAACGACACGCCAAAGGGACGCTGTCCACCAAACTGTGTGTACGCTTGCTTGTAATTGCAAATGGTCTGTACCAACTGCTCACACGGCTCCTTCTCCTGATACGCCAGCTCGTAGCGCTGCGCCGACAGACGCGCATAGTTCACGAGGATATTGGCGTCGGCAGTCAGGCCAGCAACAGCACAGATCAAATGGTCGTCCAGCTTAATGGTCTTGTCACTAGTTTTGCTCGGAGTCAGTAGCTTCGACACTGTCTTCTTCTCCGCTGCAGTCGACAGCACACACACACACACGGCGTTACTCACTAAGTGCGACGTTTGGGATCGAATCGCTTTGACAACATATACTCCACTGACCTGCAATCACAATGCCGTCTTTTGCGAGGATTCCCACGGCTGACCCGGCGTTGTTAATAGCCTCTACGGCATATTCCACCTGGAAGAGGCGGCCTGCTCAACATCAGGTCAGGTCACGTGCGAGTTAGTTCATAGCGAGACGAGGCTGCAGATAGGAAGGAGCGGGTACACAGCAGTTAGGACGAGCGTACCCTCTGGAGAAAATGTGGTTGTGCGGCCGTCGTATCGTCTCGACATGGGGCTCTTGGGTGCTGCTCGCGCTGCTGATCTTTCCGAATCTGAAGAATGAGGGGGAAGCGCATCGTTGTGTCCATTGCAATTGGTCAAATTCCACCAGGTTTTCGTTTATTTCAACCAATGGATTGTCGCACTTACGTGGTAGCCATCTGTCGTCGGATGTCAGTCGAAGAGACGTCGTTCCGGAAAACTGTCTCGGGTAGCGGAACAAAGAGGTGGCGGAACACTGGCGGGACGTGCTTTTCCACCACTTCTTCAGCAGAGATGTACCTCTTTGCCACCTTGTTGTCAAACCTTCCAGCGACCACGAAAGAACAGTCGCTGCGAGCAATGCGGTCCAATGCCAGCACCATCTTGTGCTCGTCCATGTCGTAGTATTTCTTGTCCACAAGGCGTACTGCTGTGTCGGCGCCTATAGCAAATATACACCCAGGGAAAAGCTGGGCTTTCTGGCCGAATAGTGGGGCATTTGTAATAAGTACCGACCAAGCGCCCAATGGGGAAGTACCGCTGCCGTGCGTGATTTGTGCGACGCGTGATGAGATTGTAGATGAGTCGATTGCACCCTTGTCTGCATTCGACACGGCAAGCTCAAACGCCACTGGCATCTTCAGTCCCGTGCGCGACTCTATGAGCTGCTGAGTTACACGTGCGAGATCGACATGGCCCTTGTGGAGTGGATTGAACGATCCTGGCAGCACGAGCCCACGGAACTCAAATCCTTGGGCAGCAATTGGAGCAGTAGTCCCGCCGACTTTCGATTCTTCCGGTAAGAAGGCAACACTTGTCAACTGGCCCGACGGGCCACAACAAATGCCATCCAGTGGGTCATCGTTGTGCCCTTCACATGCTGTCACCCTCACGACAGTATCATTTCCAACCTGAGCAGACGTCAATTCATCATGAAAAGCATGGCAAGTCTCTGAATCCACATCTGCAGCCTTGGCCAGGAGAAACACAAGCCACCGACTCACAATGTGGTCTTCTTCCGTTCTTGAGCGTCCCAGCGTCTTGTCGAATTGGAGGTGGTACGTTTCACACTGCGGCCGCAAGTACGTGCGGTTTTTGGAACTAAAGCGAGCCTGACAAACGGACAAGAAGCACTCGTGTGGACCCTTTTTGGCCCAGTTGGTAGCAAGTCCAGCAGTGCACGCGATCCCTAAAGAGGTGCTAAATCGCTGCACAGCGCTGCTCACTAAAACAGCAGCTTGGGCGTCGTGTTCCTCTGCTTCTTGCCTCGTCATGTCGTTTGCCTTTTTCCATGCAGCAAATGCCATGCATTCCGACGTCTCCGCTGAGCAAAATTTGAGCGTAGAAGACGTCGGAGAGACTGCGCCCAGAAATGACTGCAGACTCGCACGTGAATAGGGAACAACAAAGTGCTGCATGGTGGACGACGATCCTGGACGAAAAAGGACTTCAGCTGCAGAAACACCACCGCCAGTTACCGCCACCGCCACTTTCACGTGCGGCTCCCGGGCGTACACGCTTGATAAGAGACGCTCCATTTTGATGGTTTTCAACGATAGGACAGACATTTACGCCACTTTATTCGGATCTGTGCAATATTCTACGTATGCGAACCTTGGAGCTTTTTTCTTGAATGAATTGCGTTTGCTGCATTTTACAACTTGTACGGAATCAATATATGGCAACTATATCGTTTGGTAATACGCACCACCGTCCACGCTATAACTTCACAACCACCATAAGCAACTGCTTAATATTTGATGGAGTCTGATGGGGGTTTTCGAAGTTAAGTATCCTTCGGCAAAGGAGATGTTCACAGCTCTCCAATTGAGAGAGCGCACATTTTGTTTTTCTCTTTCGATCTTCAGGTCCGACTATAAACATACAATGATTGTTGTGTGGGATCGAGCGGGATCATACAAGTCTGTTTAGTCGTGCAAAACACCAAGACAAATGCACAGGATGCGACTACGTACTCATAGCGCGACAGATCGGCGTCGACAAGTTGTGGCAGGTGACTTGACTTGAAGGAGCACACAACCATGACATGTCCACAAACCTTGACATGCATTTTCACGCTGGACGGCCAAATAATGAGCAGCAGAGCAAGCGCATTTAACAACAGAGAGCAAGTTGCGGCCAAAGAGAAACACGCAATCCTCCGACTGGATCGTCCGGACTTCTGCATTGAAAGCCGGGACATACACAATGACAAACAGAAGGGAAGCAGAGAGTAAGTGAATGGACCATTGCCGATCCAAGCGCTGTTTAATGTGCTGCAAGTACAAAAACTACTGTCATGAGCTAAGTCTTGACGGAAAGGGTCAAAACTGCAGTTTGTTAGTTGCAAATTCTCAATTAATCACTCTTGCTACAGAGTTCTGTGACGTCATCTGATCGAATTCACGTACAAAACAAACAAGTTTAAGATGCCCATGCTCAATTATTTCGGCGTCACCCGTTTGGCAAGATATCCCTCAATTGCACTACTTTTATGCAAAGGGAGGTCGAGAAGAACTCCCAATGGGTGCTTACCGCTTTTAAGACTATGCTTAAGAGTCGGAGAAATGAAAAAAAGCCGTGAATTCTGGTCAGCGACAACTTTTCGGCTCTCTTGAACGCTGAGCAGCAAGTGTTACCAAATGACAAGATTGGGAGCGCCGTTGGCACACAATAAGACATTTTGTTGCCAGGTGCAAAGTCCACTTTACGAATGGAGATGAATGAGTAGAAATGATAGCGGATGGAAGCGCTCTGCCATGCATCAAGTGTCGAAGTTTTCGAAGCACAATGGGACAAAATTTAGACCAAGTATCGGTATCTCCCTTCCTTTACGCGCACCTTGATATATAGTGGGTCAACGACAAAAAGAAGTTTGTTGAAGCGTGGGTATGAGACATTTTTAACACGGCTGTTCCACTACGTCTGAATCTGAATCGGTACATTCGTACCCGGAGCGCGTTTTTTGCGATCGTTGGTTGGTGACCTGCTCAGTGTGCTTTAGAGTCTCCATTTGGCGATCGAGCATCAAGTGGTGGAGCTAATTTAGATACACGCTGTTGATCGCGTGAAGCGACAAACATTCGCAGCAGCGCCCATGTACACCCAGGTTGTATATGAGGTTCCATAGATTGCGCTCACCCACATCCACAAACAGCGTGCATTCACCGATCAATGCAATCCCAATTTCTAATTGACTATGGCCCTACCGTGCAAGCACTCTGCTCAAAAAGAAATCGACGCTGATGCATCCTTCACGCTAAAACATTTTGACTCGCATTGGCAGTTGTTGAAAATTTACTCGTGCTTCTGCTACAGGGAATGTAAAAAGCAAAATTCAATCAATGACTTAGTAATTCATCAATTCTAATTATATACTCAGCTTAAACCTATAACAAAACTTTCGTTCGAGTCCACATCATTGATACAGTGTTGATGAATCCAAGCGTGTCGGTGAGGGATCCAGTCGCAATATAGTTAAAGGTAGACCACCCGGATCAACAAACCAACAAAATCATCTACAAGATTTCTCGGCGTTTAAGTGTATTGAGGAATGTGCTATGTTGACTTGGAAAGTGCATATTCTGCAAACAGTACGGGCACATTTAGCGCTCTTGCACCACTTCTGCAAGGGCGTAGGAGATACTCAGGTGCGTACAGCGATCATCAAACTGGTTAAAGGCGCGCGCACAGTAAGCAAGAATAATTCCTTTTTACGGCTGACAGAGCATCATGGTCTGTGTGGCATCATCTGCATTGTTACAAACGCACAAACGCCAAAGAAAGCAGCAAAGCAAAAATGGAAGCGCAATTGCGGGTCGTACTACACAAAGCTTCAGCACGTTTACAATCTGCTAGTTCTTAATAATCGTAGAGCTGCTGTAGAATCGGTATTTACGTGTTTGATGTGATTTTGCTGTTCTTGCTTTCGTTGTCTTGCTCCCACTCATGTGGTAAGCACCAATATCTATGTTCCAGTATGTGATACAATTCGTACGCAACTTCGCCACTCTGAAACGTTTGCATGACGCAAAAACTTAGCTTAAGCACAGCTTTGTACCGCCGCTTAAGATCACGCTCGTGATTTAATTGTCGTTCGATGGATTATACACCTCCGGAGTCCATCTTCCGGAGACCATAGGCTTCTTCATCATCGGCTTGATCTTTGCTGAAGATATTGTTCGAATTTTTTATTTCTATGAAATTAGGTTGTAATTAAAGGTCAGTTTGGTTTTTTCCACCTAATAAATAATAAATATTATTTCCTATCATGTTGAACGTTATTTTCCTTATTTTTGTTAAAGTAAGAATATCTTCTAATAATTTAAACGAAAAAGGTATTCTATTGATATATTAGAGCGCTTTTATAAAGCTCCATTTTTAAATCTATGTATTTTTTACCTAGTGTACATCAAATTTACTTTTGTGTATTACATTAGATTTTATCACTTTTAATAGCAAAAGATAATATTTTTAGGGAATTGCTAAATTCACACCCCTTTTCCTTAGATTCACACCCTTCCTTCTAAATCTTATACATTCAAGGTACGCAATCGCCGTTGGACAAAGACGAGTACTTTTCTGCCACTTGATTACGGGCGACATCTTGCGCGCTGCTGTAGCTGCTGGCACCGACATAGGCAAAAAGGTCAAAGCCGCGATGGAGTCGTGCGCACTTTTGACCGACGAGATTGTCGTCGGTATCTTTAAGGACGCCATCAAGAGTTCGGAATGCCGTCGTGGCTTTATTCTTGAAGACTTTCCACGAACGGTCGTGCAGGCGAATGACCAGACGGATGGAGTGACGGCTTGTATTGTGGCATCCATTCATCACGTTTAACCTCCAATTACTCCTTTTTCTGGAGAAATTTCCACTCAAAAGGAACGGGCAATCAATTCGGCGTGAGCTGGTCTGACGTTGGCGCTCTTTTTCAACCTTTGGTACGTTTACGGCACCTCGATCACATTTAAGGTAGACACGCTTTCCTGCAATCGAACTTTTAATCGTAACAGCATAGCCTTGGCCACGTGCATACGTCTGCACACTATCCATAAGTTGCTCCCGACTGGCATACTCAACCTCGGGAGGAGGAAGCATGTTATTGCGTGGTGCCCTATAAGTAAACGCTGGAGGAGCTAGACCACAGGCGTGAGTAGTATCTTGGTATTTCTTACGTATTACTTGCCAATCATCGGCCTAGATTATCGAGTAATTACTTTGTCACAAAACAAATATTAAAAAATAATAGGGATTTTATGTATAAGATATTGACGGAAGGGTGTAAATCTAAGGAACAGGGGTGTGAATTTAGCAGTTCTTTATTTTTATATATGAAGTAACTGCAAATTATCAGTCAGCTCTAACCGAGATCATGATTCATCTTCTAGACAGTACGTACATTCACGTTTACGCAGCTTGTGGTCCTGTACATCGCACGGTGCCAAATAAACAGAAACACCCTGTCTAGGAGTCAGGAGGAGATATCAGCTACTTACATATACTATATTGATCATTAGCAGCAACATCGATATCACGTATCATACATGTCTCTAAAATCTATGAAACGTTAATCAGCTACCTATTTCATGTACCAGTTTCAATTCATCAACACGTGATAGGATTTAACATTTCGTTCGAAAACATTGAATTTAATAGGTCACGCGAACACGCAACATCATAAAATCCGGTGGACATATCTTCGCAATTTATTTAGTCGATTGCCGTTAAATTGGACGCACGCCTAGCACTTACTATAAATGTATTGGCGGCACTACATAAAGATACTTATTTCGTTTATTCTGTAACTTAGAGATAGACAAGAAGTGTATGGTCAATTTCTTTTTAGACCAATAAAACGCAGGATACTATGGCATTTTATTCTGCATGGGCACATAAAATCAAACTAAATGTAATGCCATGAGGATTGCTAGCTACAAACAAGCGGATCTATGTGCGATCAAGAGAATATTGTTGAAATGTGATCCTTTGTTTCAAGGACTCGGCATCAGATCTTAAAAAAATGAGGATGTTAATGACGGCAAATAGTTTTGCATGCTTATGACATACGATCAGCGTGACACAAGTAGGAGATGGAGAAGCTCTCCTAGCCCTGAAGAAGCACCCAGTTCTACTGCTGAAAGAAGCGCGTTGGTGAGATTCAATATGTATCGCCAAAGGACTGACTAATCGCAAGGTGAAAAAAACCTTTCACAGCACCATCTATTTTATTGCCTACCTTATTGTACATTTGGCAACAACGATATATCCTTGTTGTTTGAATTGGATTTGATTGCCTTCTTAGCCTTATTCATGTAATTGTACGCAATTGAAGCGGTGTAACAAGGCTTTACACTGTAGCCAGCGATAAATATACATACTTGGATTAAATAATATACTAGCATAAAAAAATGATCATTGATGTTTTAATAAAAAAAATATCTTTGAAAAATCTTAGTCTTAAAGTCCGGGCCATGAACGTACGGCCACCCATACGTCTGCTTATAATTTCATAACAAGTACGAGTTGAGCGCTGTTATTTTAATATGCTATGCGAAAAGCTTAATTACATACCTCTCATATGTTAACGTCCCCATTTTACGAGTTGTTAGCATGTCTCACATACAAAAAAGCGCTTTTGGTACCCGGTCAAAAGTTTTCGGCTACATCGAGCATACAAACTTCAGGTAAAAAGGATGTTTGTTAAATGTTCAGGGTCATCATACATTTACTTACTTAAGTTTGTAAGAAGCGCGAAGTAATTCGAAGTGAATGGAGTATGCCCGGCGTTACTGGCGCATTTGACTATAGAAAAGTGTGCTATGGCAACGAGAGTAGCTAAATCATCGTAGCGTACAGCGGATATGCTCGTGTTTACACCATCAAGCGCGCGAAAATTCGCTCCCGTGTAAATCCTTAATGGTTTGAAAAAAATCCGCTACGATGATTTAGCTACTCTCGTTGCCATAGCACACTTTTCTATAGTCAAATGCGCCAGTAACGCCGGGCATACTCCATTCACTTCGAATTACTTCGCGCTTCTTACAAACTTAAGTAAGTAAATGTATGATGACACTGAGCATTTAACAAACATCCTTTTTACCTGAAGTTTGTATGCTCGATGTAGCCGAAAACTTTTGACCGGGTACCAAAAGCGCTTTTTTGTATGTGAGACATGCTAACAACTCGTAAAATGGGGACGTTAACACATGAGAGGTATGTAATGAAGCTTTGCGCAACTCGTACTTGTTATGAAATTATGAGTAAAAACATAGGCGGTTGTACTTTATGGCCCGGACTGTAATTTTATCCAATTAAATGCATTTCGTTACAAATGTATTTTACACCATATCAATTACTGATGGGTGGTAGCTATTCATCGAAAGTGTGATGGCTGAGTAACGTTTTCCTTGCAATATGTGTGTTTTATAACTATAACAAGTTCAGATAATTAATTTTCTTCCTGTCCTTAATGTACGCTCTCTACAATATTATTATGCATGAGTTCATAGTCTTGTTCCACACACATTGTCATTTTGCAGGTTCCGTACGCTCTGTTGCACAGTAACGGACATAATTGACCCATCAGAGCAAGAATACATTTTCTACTAGGTGTTTTGACACACAGACTTATGATCCAGTGGAGTGTTTCTCTTTCACTTCATTTGGCATATGCCTGTACAAAGAAATTGAGATCCGCAAATCTAAAATAAACACAGTTGCACTTTATAAGTGTTACGATTCAAAAGCCGATATGATGAAATGCGAGGTGTACGTAATGAGCTAATCCAGGAAACGATATGGCTGGGAAAGGGAAGCTCACGTTTGGCGAAGGCCTGGTCTCTATTAACGATATTGGGAGTGACCTGCTGATCCCTTTATTATACAACATACTGATTGAGTGATTGATTGATGAAGTCTACTGGAGTAAGTATTATTGAAGGGGGGGTCTGTGGAACAGCATTCCTCCCCATGCTACTAGGACGCTGCACATATAAATGACCAATGAGGTCAAGTATTAATGCATTGCACTTTTTAGTTTTACCACCTTCACACAATCGACTTCTCTTGCTATGCTCGCAATAGGGACATCTATAAGCCTTAAAGGACGTAAGGATGCTGTTAGGTTCTAATCCCGAACCCTCGAAATATACGTAAGTGTTGATTTAAGAAGTCAAGAACCACTCAAGATGAGTAGGGCAAGCGGAAGCACAGAAAGTGGAGTCAGAGGTCATTTTGGTAGTGTCACTGCAGCAGCCAGCATGATGGCAGCGGTTCATCGACTACTCGTCATACCTCGAGTTTGCATCAAGTCGCCTTGCTTCAAGGTAACGTTTAAGTCATACAGAGCTATTTTGGAGGTACATCCCGGCGAGAGAAAATTGTGAACTACCGTGATTAAAGCAAAACTTTGTTTTGTCACGAACGAAGTGTAAAAGAGCGGGAATCGATAATTTTCCAATGCGATCCCAAATCTCTACTGGCGCGCAGTCGACCGACGATTGAGGGTTATCTACATGTCTGTGATCAATTCTTTCATCACCTTGTGTACCCGTCGGTAGGTCTTACTGCACTGTTCTTCATCAGATATTGTTGAGAGAAACTTGACCGTATTCGGGATGGGGGTTGGATTGATCGTGCGAATATTTTCACACGGTCACGGGTATGCTTGCAGGGCGCTTGGTGTAGATCACATAGATTTCAACGAAATCGTCTTGTCTAGTATGTAGAGATGCGTATTACACTTGACCTTCTGCCCCTCGAGCCTTCTCGCGATCTTGTTCCTTGTCCTTTTCGTTGTTGCAGCGTCAAATGACAGTTGAGAGATGTCTTGATGATTCTGAATACCAGTCAATTTTCTGGTAATATCACTTAATTTAGCATGCAACCCTTTCTTGACGTCGGGATACCAATTTTCTAGATTGGAAGAGAAGTTGACACGTGTACTTACGGGTGAATTAAATTTTGTTACATGTGAATTAACTAAAGCTAATACTACTATATTTCCTGGAAACAATAGAATTTACTACTTCATCTATTTTATTTTAATCGACTTCATCTTCACATATGTGGTTTACACACGTCTCGAGAGGTCTCAACATTTATCGTGGGCTTGATTTCGATCACACTCCGATCGCCGATAATTCTTCAGATCGTGATTACTGCCGATCGCTATCACCATTTCTGATCGTCGACAACTATTCCATATCATGATCGCTACTAATCAACGACCTCCGTTCTGGAACGCTACTTCATTTGATCGTCGATTTTATTCAAAGTATCGATCACCTTACTTATTCTCGATCTAAATATTCTGATATTCGAGGTATAATGACACTCGATCCTAGTATTGTAGTACTATATATCGGCTCCCTGACACTCGAAAATTGGTATTGTTTTTTTCGATCTTGGAATCGCGCAGCTTATCAGCCAGTAAAAATCATTTTCAACGATCCTTCGTAGTTTGGGATCACTCAACCCAGCGATCACTCCAGATTTATTCGATCCGCTTTCCCACACAAGCGATACACACACAACTTTATAAACAAGATCGATTTGCACGTGATCCTGCGCGGTATAAGCGGGTTCCAAAATCGACGATGCAACTAATGTGTGTTCAATGGCTACATCAGTCTAAATGTGGGCGTAACTTGGGACAGACAAGACCCGAGGCGATTTTTCCTATGCGATTTGTTGCGGCAAAATTTTTTAAATCACATAGTTGCAGCGAGTACATGGCGTATCACTTAAAGAAGATGGAAAGCTTCCGGCAGCAACTGCACAACATGGAAGACGATTATACTGTCAGGGAAGGTGAATCGGCGTGCCTTTGTTTTATGGGC